TGTGTGTGTAAAATATATATATATATATATATATATACACACACCTTACTACGTGTACTGCTTTAGGCTAACCGAGACTTGTCATTTGCACTTATATATTGTTGCTCTTTTGTTAGTTTTGACTTCTTTTATTGTCCTCATTTGTAAGTCGCTTTGGATAAAAGCGTCTGCTAAATGACTAAATGTAAATGTAAATGTGTAACAATCTGCCTACTGTGTGGGAGCGAATGAGACATTGGGGTTTCACGAATAACAGTCTTTATTAATCCACAACAAAGACTCACAAGAAGGAACACACATGTAACACGGGGAATTGATGTTTAACACTGGACCCAGGACACAGGAAAACACAGGGCTTAAGTACCAGGAACTCAACGAGGGGTAACAGACGAGACACACCTGAATTATATTTGCACAATCACAACATGGGAGAAACTGGGTCATGGGGAGCACATGGGGAACAAAACACAACACAGGAACACAAGGACAGTCCATGGGCGTGACAAAATATAGGTTTTTTTCCACATTTCTAGCAAGAAATTAATATTGTAGTAATTAAATATTCACTTAGTTATCACCAAAGCTCTATTTTGTTGTAGATTTTTAAACCATTATACTGCCCTGAAGTCTGTCCAAAATGTTGTGTTTTGTGAGCAAATGCTTCCAGCAAAGTAATTGCCTGATAAGGCAGCTGACATGCCTCACTTTTTGACAGCCATGGTGTGTTTTTTTATTATTATTATTATTAATTTGTTATTATGGACAGCAAAGTGAGCAACACCTATGTTTACTGTATGTTCTCTTTTTTCTCTTTGTTCTCTTAAGGGCTCTTTTGAAGAGAAAGTAGATTGCGAGCCATTCATTTGCCCCTCTGAAAGCTCACTCTCGCTCATATCCAAGGTAAATCATCAAACCCCTACGGGTGCTTTGTTGAAATAATGACATGGCCATCGGCTAAAAAGCATGCACAGCTTACTTTACTTCACAAACAAGTGCGCACCCATGTCCAAGTTGCTTTCACTTGCGCAACTTATGACTACTTTTCATATTAAATTAATTTTATTTTTACGGCATATGTGTGGGCTGTTCATGTAACATTAATAAATGTTTCACCTGCTAAAAAACTGACATTACAGTTGGCATTTAAGAAGTTTCATTCATAGGTTATTGGTAATAATACAGTGATGCCTTTGAATGTAAACTTAAATAAATGTAAAATTTTTGTGTTATTACAATATAAAATTACATCATATAAGAGGATTCTGTTATTGAGGCTAAATCTAATGTGAGTGCAGAAAAAGATCCAGAAAATGTTATTTATTTTGAAGTGACTTTATTTGATGTATAAAAAAATATGAAAATGGTCATTTTAAGAAAAAATAAAGTCAAATTACATTTATAGTTTTTCTTTTTCCCCAAATAAGTACAGCACTTGAATGTAACAGCACAGCCACTGTCATTTCAAAATGAGTTATATTACCATTTCATTTAGTTCTTTTTAAAATTCCATATAAATGCTTTACCCATGTCAAACGGGACACTCATGAGACTTTGTTCAATTCACCACTAAACAGCTTTCAGTTTAGCATAGTAAGATGGCTCAACTTATTTGCATGTATTACATGTATTACATCTAAATTAATATTCACCAGGCACATTACAAGGAAGAAAGAAGAGCATGCTGCAACAGTTAATGGCAGATAGTTTCCTATGAGTAACTATATATTTATTCATCACGCACAGCGTAATGATTGTCATATTTTACATTCTGAAAGTTGAACAAAGAGGGAAAAAAATATAAAAGATAAGGAAATTAAATCATTTAGTGTGTATCCTGCATTATGACACCACACACAAACACCTACCTAATTTAAATTTAGTTCTGGTTACAAAAAGTCGACTAATAATAATAAAAAAACAACAAACAACTCACTGAAGGCAATAAGCTGGAACATAGAGACAGTGGATACTCATGTTCAGGTCAACATGCAATTTAATTAAATATATTCATTGGTATTGGTATATGCAAATCAGTAAGTGTTCACATAATCATTTAGTCATGTATGGACCCTTTTTACATTTCCACAGCATGGTAGTTAATTGTAGCTGGGTAAACCTACATGGGAAACAATAACAAATTATTTAATGTTGTTGTTCCAACAGCAAATAAAAAAAGTCCACTACTGCGTTCCCATGACTTTCCATAAAAGTGGATTACAAAGAAGGATTATGGCAATCCAAAGAGAGACAGATTCCAAATTTACAGTAACTCCCACAGCAGCTGAATTAGTAACACTTACATTAACATTAACACTTTTAACACTATGCTAGATTTAGTTTTGTTGATCATTGCAGAAAAGTGTCATGACAGTCTGTGAAAAGGGTCCATGGAGAATGATAAAACTCAATCAAGCCAGACACTGCATGTGTCAGTGCCTTTCCAGAGGCCAAGCCAGCTGCTTACACATCTCATGAAACGGGTTAGAAAAATATAGAACACACTGTCCCAGCAGTTGCTTATCTTGATAATGTCAACGACAAAAATAAAGATAATCTGAGTGAAGAGCATAAGGAAAATCGAAAACAGATACAGTCTATTACAGTTTTAAAGTCATGCACAGAACCTGGGAAGAGCACAGGTTCTGTGCATACATATGAATAATATAAATAGCATGATGTTCTTGACATAAATGTTTTTTTTATTTATAGCTCAATAAGCTGTAAAAAACTCAATGTAGTACTCAATTTAGCGCACAGACAAGCAACGTATGTATACTTAATTCAGGTGCATATCTAACTGGTCAAATACATACAAAAATGTCAAAATGCAGTCTTAAGTGTTATTGAACTTTAGAGTCACTTTTAAAGCTTTAATAATGAATCTATGATTAACCCCTATAGTAGAGATTATACAGTTAACATATTATATTATTCTAATTTTGTAGTATTTATTACTTTAACACTACTGTTAGCTAGACCTACCACAGAAACTTTAAGCAGTGTTTATTTTATTTGTTTGACATTTGTTTCTTTGTTCTGTCTGTTTACTTATCTTCATTATTTTGATATGCATCTTTATTCTGAAGAAGAACAAAAACAAAAAAAAAATCTCAACCCCTGGTCATGCATGCTTCAACAAGATCAAACTGAATTCGCATGAAAAGATTTCACATGAAAAATGCTGAATGGTTCTGGTCTTCTTAAGTACACTTCTGTAGTGAGCTAACCTCACAGGGTTTGTTTGTGGTTTAGTTTATCATTGACTCTCATGATTTGGTGTTGTACCACCATTGCCTTTGGCTTTGATCTGTAACCAGGCATCCCCCAGTGCTTTAGTGAAGTGGTCATCAACTGAGTCTGTGATGCTCACCGAGTTAGAGACAGGCGCTGGCTCCTTATAGATCTTCCCAAGACTGCGGCGGAAATGCTCCTCAATCACAGGGTCACACACAGTGTTTGCTGATGAAGAGAAAACAAACAGAGAGACTCTATGTGTAAAGATCAACGATCGTACTGTCATACCAGGCCCACACAGAATCAGTGCCACTGAACTCCGATACTAAATAATCTATGGACAACCATTGTGTTACATTTGAAACACAATATTGCCAGTATTGTAATTTTTGCTCAATTTCACCAATGAAAACGGTTCTAAACAAAGCCACAGCAGAACTGTCATGCCTTTTCAAGCAACACTATTTCGACACACTATTTCCCTTTTTTAATACTGTCAAGCTGCTTTGACACAATCTGCATTGTGAAAAGTGCTATATAAATAACGGTGACTTGACTTGAACACACAGCGTGTTTTCTTACTAAATGAATCCACATTTTTTAAAGAATCAAGTGAGCCAGTTATTCAGCCCGCTTCTGATGGAACCCTTGGAATGGGTTGAATTGGAACATCCTAAGCCCTTGATCACTTAGAATCCGCTATGGAGTTGATTTGTTATTTATTTATTTTTTCCTTTACAAAGGTGGGGATAATTTAAACGCGATCTGCGATGACATCATAAACGTGTTGCATTGTGGTCTATGGAGCGGCCTGAAGTGAGCATATGAAGCAAACTCGCTCCCTCTGTCAAAATCGAGGGATTGAGGGTCTGTCCATATAAACTTCCCTCCTCCACTTAATGAAGTGGAATGCACTTCAAAATGGCAGCAGAGATTGCCCCGAGGGGAAGTGCTTAGGGACGTTCTCGAGTGCGTGTCTGAAAGTGGAGTGGAACGCAGCCAGAGACAGTCACTTGCTTCATTTCGGAATGAATCAGCTGTTTGAACGAATCAGTTGAATGGATGATTGAATGACTCACTCACTCAATAAGCAATTAATCTTATTAATTAATGGGCACATCATGTAATTAATTAGATTATGAATTTGAATCAATTAAATTAATTTTAACATTTAGAAACAAGTAGTGCTGTCAAACGATTAATCACATCCAAAATAAAAGTTTTTCATTTAGAAATGCTGTCAAACGATTAATCACATCCAAAATAAAAGTTTTTGTTTACATAATACAGTATATAGTATATGTCTGTGTATATTTATTTATTTATTTATTTTATTTAGTCATTTAGCAGACGCTTTTATCCAAAGCGACTTACAAATGAGGACAA